AGAGCTTGGGAGTGTTACCAGTGCTTTTCAAGCTTAGTTTATATATAAGTAAGCATTACATACTGTCTTTAAGGAATAGGCAAAATGCTCAAATAAATCAACACAGATGAAGTATCAAAATACACAAAAGGTCCCACACACAGGACACAGCTGACACACATACAAAGAAATGGGTTTTTTATGTCTGTCATAATAATTTTCTCAAAAAGTCATAAAGGAATTTTAACTGGGCATGTTTAAGCTCAATTAATTCAAACACTTCTTAGAATTTATGAAATTGCAAGGTTAAAAAAACAAGATGTAATTCATTTTCCTAAAAAAGAAAACAGTAAATTATAAATTTTAAGTAATATTATAAAACTATATAGTTTAAACATTATTGTAAAACATTAAGCATAAATTTAAAACAATCCTTTAAAATTGTTATTTTTCAGTAACATTCTTATTTTTTAGTAACTATAAAACTAGTTATCTTAATTTTACTATATCATCTCAAATTTGCAATTAAAATATACCAAGTGTTGGTGAAAATGTGACAAAACTGAAACACTCCTACACTGCTAGTGGGATTATAAAATAGTACTTTGGAATACAATGAATCATTTTTTGGGAATTCCTCCAAAGGTTAAATGAGGACTTGAATGTAATTAATCGTAGAGCTTTTGCCTAGCATACAGGTAGCCATGAGTTTGATCCCCAGAATTGGAAGGAAGGAAGGAAGGAAGGAAGGAAGGAAGGAAGGAAGAAAGGAAGAAAGGAAGGAAAGAAAGAGATTAAACACAGTTACTCCATAACCCAGTCATTTACTTCTAGGTATCCAACAAAAATGAAAATATAGACTGGCCTGTAATTCCAGCACTCAGGAGGCTGAGGCAGAAGGATCACATTGAGTGCAAGGCCAGCCTGGACTACATAGTGAGTTCAAGACAAGTCGAAGCTACATAGCTAGACCCGGTCTCAAAAAATCAAAATTAAAAAAAGGTAATTTAAATGAGTAGGACAAATACTTATGGGCCATTTGTCTCACTCTCACTTGAATTATGTAGCCCAGGCTGACCACGAACTCACAGTGATTCTCCTGTCTCAGTCTCCAAATGCTGCAATTTCAGGCATGCTGCCAGCATACGTAGCTGTCCACACTCTGGAAACTGGATTTTGGAGACCTACCCACAGAGTGCAGTGTCTAGAAAAGTTCTCTGTGAATCTTAATTTATACATTGAATTTTGAGAATCATGCAGCTAGGTGATAAATATCTAGACAATTCTTATGTGACCTGCTTAACTGTCATTATTTTCAGTGTTTGTGAACTCTTTAATTGTCTTTATTGGTAAATAAGGGAAGAAGGGGGTAAAGTCTCATTCTCCAAGACTGTATCAAGTGAGTCCCTGAGGCTTCCTGCATTTGTGAAGGTATGAGAAATTTTTCTACCTCTCACATCTGAGGCTTCAGCATGGCCTTAGAAGCCTTTTTTTGTGAAACTACTAAAAGTTGGGCCAGGAATAGCACTGTGGCATAAGAGCTTGTGTGGGCAAGCACAAGGTCATGAATTCAATCCCGGGTACCAAAAAAACCCCAAACAAAAAAAATTAGTAAAAGTTTTGCTTCTCTCTCTCAAAAAACTATGTATTGTGTTCACACAAACACTGGTAGATGAATACTCTTTTTTTTTTTTTTTTTTTTGTCTTTTTCGTTTTTATCGGTACCAGGGATCGAACTCACGACTGCCTGCTTGCAAGGCAGGCACTTATGCCGCTGAGCTAAATCTCCAGCCCCCTAGAGGAATACTCTTAATCCTATTAATACAACCAAAAAGTAGAAATAAACCATTACTAATCCACTTGTGGTATATTCACAAGTACAGTGGCATACTACTCAGCAAGAAGTTTTGACACAGAATATAATACAGAATACCCTTTAAAACGTTGAAATAAATCTAGCACTCGAAGCCTGGTGTTGTGGAACAATGCCTACAGTTTGCCTGTAATTGCAGCACTCTGGACGCTGAAGCAGGTCTACTGTGCGTTCAAGGCCAGTTTGAACTGCAAAGCAAAACCTTATCTCAAAAAAAATTAAAATTAAAAGAATCTAGTACATGGGAGAACTGAGGCAGGAGGATCACTGTAAGTTTGGGGTTAGCCTGCACTACATAGTGAATTCAGGACCATCCTGAACTACAGTAAGATCCTGATTCAAAAAAAACCAAGCCATAAATAAAATATAAAAAACTGAACTAAGTGAAAAAAGCCAGTCATTAAAAAGGTTACATTTTTTATAACACAAAATTTGCAAAATAGGCAAATAGAGACAGAAAGTTAAAAAAAAAAAAAAAAAAAAGGTTCTCAGGGGAGTTTTAGGGTCATAAATTCTTAGTGTTAGAATGGAGATAATTCCTTTCTAACTGGATGAGTGGGTACTGATAATATCTGGCTCAGAAACACTCAACGAATGGTAACTTTTTGTTTAACTTAAATATAAAATTCATGGTTTTATTGAGGCAATAGCCAATAACTTCACTTAAACTTGTCAACTGATACAACAACTATTATTTTTCAAGCAGTTTCCTCTTTCATAGTATAAAAATAATACAAAATACAAAAATGCTGGCAGGTGGCCTGTAATCCCAGCACTTAGGAGGTTGAAGCAGGACGATTCCCACAGGCTCACTGAGGCCAGCCTGGAATACACAATGAGTTCAAGGCCAGCCTAGAATACATAGTGAGACTCTGTCTCAAAAACAAACAAACAAACAATAACAAAAAATCCCAGGCATGGTGGCACACACCTGTAGTCTAGCACTCTGGGAGGCTAAGGCAGGAGGATCTCAGGCTTGAGCTGGCCTGCTGCTACAGAAGCAGCATTGAGCTACTTCTGGAATTTTAGTCTAGGAGAGTTCCTCCTGTGTACTGAGCTGTCCAGGGCTGCAGCAAGACCCTGTTAAAGACCCACTTTGATGTACTTGTTTAACATCAACAAAAACTCAGGAAAGAAAATCTAGAAACCACAGAAAACAAGCAAATCTACCATCCTATTACAATGCCCAAACAAGTAATTTAACTTCTGTTAAATGACTGAATATTTAGTACGCTATCCGTGAGTTAATTATGTACTCTGAGGACAGCAAGAGTGTATCCTGCCCTTTCTCTTTATTTCATCAGCCTGTTCTGAATCTCTAAAGGATAAACAGGGAAATAAAAGAAGAAAAAAGTAAAAAACTCAATTTTAGCTTTCTTTTGGGGGAACAAATTTTCATACTGGCAGAGTTTTGAACTTGAAAACTTAGTTTTGAGATGAAAAACTGTCACAAGAATTGCTTGCAGTTTATCCTCATTCTCTCCCTGTTGGATTACTAAAGACTAATATGAGAAATGCAGATAAATATACTTTTCTCTATACTTGTCCACTAGGAAATTACTCATTTTAAGAAATAATCTAGGGCTGGTGGTTTAGTTCAGCTGTTCAAGCTCTGGCTTTGTAAGTGCAAGGTCGTGAGCTCGATCGCCGGTACAAAAAAAAAAAAAAAAAAAAAAAAAATATATATATATATATATATATATATATATAACAAGTAAAGAAAAAACAAAACAATAAAATGTGCTAAACATGTAGATAATTAAAGAACACACATTATAGACTGAATTAGAGAAAACAAATTCCCAAACGGCGTATCTCCTTGGGTGTTTCTACAGTGCGAGAATCTGAAGTAAAAGAGCAAACATCTCCCAATTTAATCAAAACAGCAGTGTTCAACCTACCAGAATAACCGGAAATCACCATTAGCAGTGAGGAAAGAAAGGGTGAATCAATAAAAAAAAAAATAAACGGTCGGGTAATATACGAACAGAAAACAAACAGGAAGCACTTTAAAAGGCAAGAAATGCAAACACAAACTAACAGCGCATGAAATCAACTAACGAGCAATACACCTGTTCAAGAAAGAGGAAAAGAGGATATATGAAGTCTTAAGTATTTAGTGTCAACACTAATTCATCTGGTTGTCAGGTGGAAAGCAGGTTGTCGGGTAGAGAGCCTGTTTCCTAGTTTAATCTAAAATAGTACTCATTTCTGACACACATGGTTGTACCTCTGAAGTGCTAGGAAATACATCTTTTTTTTTCCCCCACGTAGAAGTTGACCCGGAATTTATTTCATTCGTGTACACCAAGTATATTAAATGAAAATGTGCCGGGTGCAGAGGAACAAATGTGGGAGAAGACGATCGTGAAAGTTTAGCAGGAAACAAGCGAGCCTGAAGCACTAGGTCTGGAAACAGCACACACGGGGGGGACAAATAGTAGAAACTAGTCTGACGACCTAGCACAAGCGACGAGAACGCGTTCACGTAAACACACATCAATGACAAGATAATGGCACCAGTAACAACCTTAACCCACGTTCAGAGTGCCCAGAAGTGACATCTGTCGGAACGCACGCACAAGGCAGCACCCTAAACGGCGCGCGCTCTCATCTGAGCTCCGCCGCCGCCGCCAAGAGTCTCTGAACCACAGGCGTCCGGCCACTGCCACGCACGGCACAGTCCACCCTTCTAGATGGGACCATGCCGGCGCGTTTCTGAGGCAAGCAAAGGCCGCGTGGCTTCTTCAGAAACAAGCTCTAGATTTCCCTACCACCGGCCCCACGTCAGGGTCAGACAGCAAAGCTCTCTTCCACCGTACTTCTAGCGCACCACTGCCGACTGCGGCGGGCGCCGATTCCTTCACACAGTGCAGGGCTGTCGGGGCGCCCCAGTCCTGAGCCCAGTCAGGCTGGGCATTACTCTCGCCAAAGTTGAAGCGCTGAGGGGGACGCGCCCCGCCGCGCCGCAGGGAGTCACCTCGACACCCAGACCCGGAGCTGGCGCCGAGGGCGGGACCCGCGCGCTCTCGGCCGTCCGGGACGCCCACCTCGGCGCCGGCTTCGCGGTGTTAGGGCTCGGGGCTGGGCGCGGAGGCCGCAGGAGCCCTAGGGCCCGGCCCGGCCCGCCCGCGCCCGCCGCGCTCACCGCATTCTTCTTCTGCACCATCTTGTCCATCTTTTTGGCAATGCGAACCACCTCATCGTCCATGGCTCCGGCAGGTCTTCCCCGCGCCCAGCCCGCTAGGAACGCGAAGCAGGCGAAGCTGAGGCACAGGAGACGGTGAGGGATGCGCCTCAGCGCCCTGGGAGCCCAGACGCAGCAGGCCCGAGCCTTCCTCACACACCAGGCCCGCGACCGCGGCGGCGGCCAACGCCCCTCCCCCTCAGGCAGCGCCAGTCGAGCTGCGCGCGCGCGCCGTGCAGGCGCGACCAGTCGACCGCAGATGGTGCTAAGGGGCGGGGCGAGCCGCTACTCCTGCCAAGCAGGCGGAAAGAGGGCGGCCGGCCTGGTGCTGGCCAGGGAGCCTGGGCTGGCTGTGCGTACGACCGCGCGTTCGTTTCTGGTCCCGCCTCCGCACGGGAGACTGCCACACGGCTGGGCGGGGTTTTCCCTCCAGTATTTGCGTACAGCCGCAAGGTTGGAACCTTGCAGAATGCCACGAATCTCGAATGCGAGGAAATGGAACTTGGGCGATTTTAGTCAATGGGATTTTAACGCTCCAGCGCTCTGAGAGGCTGAGGCTAGAAGGATCACAGTTTAGCGAGTGAACTATACAATTTCTGACCAATGGGCCTACACAAAATTTTGTACTTGCCTAATAGAATACAAATTACTTTTTAGCACACATAAATTATTTTTAAAAACCGACAGATTTCAGTACCTTCTGACTACAATATAAGTCCCATCACTAATAATAATTTTTAAATGAAATTTAAAGAGAAAGGAAGTGTTTCTTGCCCCCAAATGAGTGGAGTGAGTCAAAAGTTTGCCATCTCTGTTAGAAATAGTATTATTGGTGGTAGGCTTCAATGAATGGGAATTTTATTTAAAGTAGCATTATGAGTGCAAATAGCCTAATTCATTAGTTTTGAGTATATTTTCACAAGGTTGTACTTTAATCACAACCTAATTTTAAACCATTTTTGTTATTCCCAACAGGAATTCCAGACTCATTACCAGTCTCACCCTATTACTGCCCCCAGTCCTCGCTCTCAGCCCTAGACCGCCAGACCACTAGTCTACTTTCTGTCTGTGTAGACTAGCCTCTTTTTCTCTGTAATTGGCTTAACACAGCGTGCTTTCCAGGTTCATTCAGATTGTGGCAGCCCTACTGCAGCATTTTCTATCGCTGAATATCCTATGGCTTTGCCAAATTTTATTTGTTCTTCAACATTGGACTTTTTTTTAACCGCATTTTTGCTCTTACAAATAATGCTGTGAACATTCCCGAACAAGTTTTTGTGGGAGCATCTGTTAATGCCCCTAAGTTTGTTTTACTTCTTAGTAATAGAGCTAATTCAGTTTACTTTGGGTAGTTTGTCGTATTTTCCAGTCTCTTTACTTTCAGTCTTGATATTAGATGTCTTTCAAAGTGACAATATAATTTGATACCATTCTTTTGTCTAATCTGGTAGTCTAATCTGATCATCTAATCTTACTGGCAACTTTAGTCCATTTCATAGTTGTAATTACTATTACTTTTGAATGTGTGTCTATTGCAGAATATCTATCACCATACCTGCCGTAAGTGGTTTTTTCATCCAGATGTAGTGGCACCTGTAATCCCAGCTCTCAGAGGCTGAAGCAGGATGATCTCGAATTCGAGGCTAGCATGGGCTACATAGTGAGTTCAGGGCCAGCCAGAATGTTAAGAAATTATCACTGCAGATTTGAAGACAGCCTGACCTATGCACTAAGACTCTGTCCCCTCAAAATTAAGTTTTAGTTTCTTTAAAAGTTTTCATTTTGGGGCTGGGGATTTAGCTCAGCGGCTAAGCGCCTGCCTTGCAAGCAGACAGTTGTAAGTTCGATCCCTGGTACCGATAAAAAGGAAAAAGACAAAAAAAAAAAAAAAAAGTTTTCATTTCAGTGACGTCCAATCCAATTTTTTTCTTCTAGGGAGTATGCTTTTGGTGTCATATTTATACATCAAGCTGTAGGCTTTGAAGATGTTATGTTTCTATTCTAAATTTTAGAATTTTAATTTGACATTGAAATTTAGAGCCACTTTTAGTCCATTTCTCTATCTGGAAAAGTTTTTCCTATTTGAGGTTTTTGTTGTTTCTTGAATAGGGGCTTGCTGAGTAATTCAGGCTGGACTTAAATTCACTGTGTAGACCAGGTCAGCCTCGAACTCATGACAGTCCTCCTCAGTCTCTCTAGTGCTGGGACTACAAGCATGTGCCACCACCAAGCTGTCTTTTTTCTTTTTTAGACAGGGTCTCTCTGTATCATTTAGGCGGGCCTTGAACTCACTAGGGAGTCCAGGTTGGCCTCAAACTGTGATCCTCTTGCCTCAGCCTTTTGAGTGTAGGAACACAGGCATGTGCCACTACACCCAACTGGTCTAAGTTTTGTCTTATTTTATTTTGAGGGTCTTGCTATGCTGTTCAGGCTGCCTTTAAACTCTGTATAGCTGACTGGCCTCAAACTTGCAGGGATCTTCCTGCCTCAGACTCCTGAGTGCTGGGATTACAGATGTGCTGGCATAAAGTTTTGATGAAAGGTTTTGTTGTTTGTGGGTATCAAATTGCTTCAGTACATTTTGTCAAAAAAAAAAAAAAATCCCACTATGCTTTCTGTATTGTCTGTGTGCCTTTTAGAATTATATCATTAATCTATGTGTCTACCTCTCTGCCAATACCATAGTTTTGATTTAATAAATTTTGTCACTATTTAATAAATCTTGAAATCTGGTGGAGTGATTCCTTCTACTTCTGTTGCCTGCCCACATCAACTTTGAATCTTCTTGTGTAATAGTTGTATTAGGGTTCTGATAGCTATTGCATGAAGTTTGTGTTGAGGAAAATTAGCATCTTTACTATGTTGCCTTTTACTATGCATTTTTTTGTTGCTATAATGGAATACCTGAAGTAGGGAGAGGTTTGATACATGGAGGTCCAAGGTTGGGGGTTTGCATTCAGTGATGGCTTCTTGCTGGTGGTCTCCAGATGGTATGTGTCATGCATGTGTACATCCCCTGGTCTCCCCTAAAAAGCCCCCAGGACTCAGAAAGAGGTCTTTTAAAGATCTTACCTAATTCTAATCACCCAGCCTGGGCTTGAGCTTTTGATCCTCCTGCCTTAGCCTTCCCAAGTGCTGGGACTACTGGTGTGTGCCACCACACTCAACTAATTCTACCCACTTAATATCCCACAAAAGTGATTAAATTTCCACAATGAGCCTTGGGGCAATCAAACCCTAACCAAGCTGTAGCACAATCCACTAGTATGGTGTTCATCTCTTATTATCTAGATCTTTTTAAATGTAGTTCACCAGTGTTTTATAGTTTAACTTCCAAATCCTGATTATTTTCTAATTAAAATACTTACTTTGAGCAAATATGTCATTTTAATTTTTGATTTCCACATCTGAATTGTTAGGATATAAAATCCATGGCAGGGGCAGTATTTGGGAATTTGAACCCGGGGCCTTCATTCTGATATATACAGAAATCTCTCCCTCTCCGTCCGTCTGTCTCTCTCTAGATACATATATAGGCATGTATGATATATACTCTGAATATACACATTCAGCTTTAAGACAGTCTCCCCAGGACACCAGATTGCCCAGGGTGGGCTTGAACTTGTACTCCTGCCCAGTCTCCCAGGTGCTGGCACTGTAGTTGTGTGACACCTCTCCCCACAGAATCCAATTAATTACTTGTACTTTGTTTCTATTCAGTATTTTAGCCCCCAACTACTATTGGTTTATGCAGTCATCACTGCTTAGTTACTTCAGTGTTTACTACTGTTTCCCATTCTTTTTATCCTTCCCCTTTTCTTCCTGAAGGACACATTTTTAAAGTTCTCTCAATAGTGTTTTTTTTTTTTTTTTTTTTTTTTTTGAGCCAGGTTCTTCCTATGCAATTCTGGCTGGTGAACCCACTACATAGTCCAAGCTGGCCTCAAACTCAGTGACCCTCCTGCCTCAGCCTTCCAAGAGCCACCACACCCTACTCTCATTTATTTTTGAAAAATGGTTTCTTTTACTGTCTTTACTTCTATAGAAAATTCCAGATCAGCAGTCTCTCTCCAACTTTGGTAATATTACTCCATTACATAATTGACCTGCAGTGGTGTTTTTCGTAAGCCTACCATGTGGTTGTTTTAAATGGGTTCTTTTTCCTGGTCACTATTATCATCTTTGTATGGTGGTGTTTGGCTTTTCTTGGTGTGTCCTCAAAAGATTTTGTTTAGGGGCTGGGGATTTAGCTCAGCGGCATAAGCGCCTGCCTTGCAAGCAGGCAGTCGTGAGTTCGATCCCTGGTACCGATAAAAAGGAAAAAGACAAAAAAAAAAAAAAAGATTTTGTTTATCTGACTAGTAAATTTCTGCCCCTAAAACATTATTTCCTCAAGTCTGGAAATCTTCAGTCATTTTATTATTCAATAGTGCTTCTCGCTCACTTGTTTTTTCCTTCTAGAATTTCCATTAAACTTCTTATTGGTGTAGTCTTTTACCCTCCCTTCTGGTTCCAAGTGAAATCTACAAAGCTATATTTCAGTTCTCTTGGGTCTAATAAACAGTTTGACTCATCCATTTGACAGGCCATAGCTAAACATGATTGGAAATGTGAAGAATGGGTAGTTTCAGTTTGGGAATAAGATACGGGTAATGGTGATGGTTATAGTGGTGATGAGTGTAGTACCACTGAATTTATACACTTAAAATGGTTAAAATGGTAACCTTATGTATGTTCTGACACAGTAAACTTTTGGATGAGCTATGTGTAACAAGGGCATTTTGCTCTCTCACATATCACTGTAAAGTCTAGGCTGACCTTGAACTCAAGGTGAGCCTCCTGCCTCAGCCTCCTGAGTGCTGGGACCACAGACATGCACCACCATGCCAGGCTTCTACATGCTCTTTATTCACATTTTTGTTATTCATGTTCCATTAGACTCTTTAGTATTTTTCAGGTATGTGATTTTTTACAAAATATAATCAAGTCAGATGTATGGTCTTATTTTTTTCCAACTCTCTGCTTATTAGTTTTTTCATCTGACAATGTATTGTGAACCCTTTCCAAACTAATACTGTGCGCATTGACATTCTACTTTCATAATTGTTTAACGCTGCCCTGGGCAGATGTTCTGAGTATATTTAGCTGGCTCACCTTTATTTGACATGTTGTTTCAAATATTCTGTGGTTCCACCACTGAATTTTTCAGTGTTTTCATTTCTATTTTTTTCCAAATCTGCATTAATTTATTTTTTGTCCTTTTTTGAGACAGGATCTCACTAATAGTTCAGGCTGGCCTCGGACTCGTGGAGATGCCTGCCTCAGGCTTCCAAGTGCTGGAATCACAGGTGTGCACTACTGCACCCAGCTCAACTCTGCTCTATTATTTTATTTTATTTTTGGTACCAGAGATCGAACTCTCAGCCTTCCAATTGCCAGGCAGGTACTTGTGCCACTGAGCTACACTATAATTTTCACTTATTATGTCTTTAATATTTTCATAGTAGGTGAAAATTTTATCAAAAGCTCCTGCATGTCTAATCATCCTTTGATCTTTTGTGTTACCTGCTGTTCACTTATTAAAACCAGATGGTCCCCTCATTTGGCTTGTGACTTGGTGTTGTGGTTTATGTGTCCATGTCCTCCTGGAGATTCAAGTGGATCATCACGGGAATATGATGCTGGACTAGCCCATTAATGATGGGTTTACACTGGTGTGACGGTGAGAAGTGAAGCCGGTGGGAAGGGGCAGGTCACCGTGGGGCGGCCTGAAAAAAATATATTACAAGAAATAAGGTGTTGCTGTGAAGGGCAAGTCTACTGAACAGTAGAAGTCAGATGCAATATTTTTTATATAGAACTCTTGCCATTAGGACTAAGCAAAAATTTAAAAAAGCAGACCAATGAAACAATGACTGATCAATTTAAGTATTCAAAAGCCAAACTGAAAGACTACGTAAGAGATGGAACAGAAAGGATTTCTGTAATGTAAAAGTTATACATCAATGGTGAAACACAAGAACAACTATTTGGATAACAGGTGTATGCTGCTAATTTTAAAATCCCAGGGAGTAATACTACATTGAAGGAAAAGACCACAGCTACGTGGGACACCAGTTAGGAGAACGGAGGCCTCCATGACCGCCTCTGTGAGCACGCAAGGACGATGGCCCCCTGCAGAGTCCAGGGAGCAGTCGGGACCTCTACGGGCAGCAGGCTGTGGACCTGGGCTCGTACTGGATAATGGTAGAAGATGGAAAATCTTACGTTACTGTAACTGCTTGTTCCCACGTCTGGATGAATAAAGCAGGAAGAGCCAGGTGGTTGGGGCTCCTCTGCCTACCAGGCATAGGGGACCCCTGCTGCTTTGTGTTAATCAAACTCACCTGTCTGTTCACCCGTGGATCAGTGACAGACTAGCAAGAGTGGATCTCCACAGGTGGTGCGAGGGATGGGGCAGCGGGGACAGAGTGGGCTGCTTCCCATGAATGGAACCTGAGGACGCGGTTGCGAATGGTTTACTACACACATAACCTTACATTGGTGAGGAACAATGAAAACCAAATACGATTTTTTAATTAGGCTAAAACTGAATGACACTCCTCAGGGCTTACTCCATTACAAGCTAATCACACTATTATCAAAATTTCTCTCCCAATGTATTTTATTGTGATTACATTGTTATTTTTCTCCTTTTCATTAGATGCACATTCCAAAGTAAATCCTAAAATTAAAATACTCAAAACAGTCAGTGAAGTCAGAATTAAATTTTATTTCATATTGATAGAAATCATGAAAAACAGGTACATTGTCCCACATTACAGCACAACATTTCAATGGCGTTGTTTTTGCTCTAAGATCTTACTGATTTGTGTAACTGAACTAAGTCCACAGTTCTTCAAGGTAAAGCAGAACGACTTAGTAAATGATTGTTTAAAATCCAGAAATAAACATATGGCTTCATTATACACATCCAATGTAGTCTATTACTAGATTACTTCCATGATCAATTAGCACCATAAAGATGCGTTCTTAACATTGTTTTGGTAAGCTGAAATACAGCAGAAAAATTAACATCTTCAGAAATACTAAGCATACATTTTGGTACATTTTAAACTGTATGGTAACTATACCATAGTTATAGGGTTCTAATTAACCTTTATTATTCATAAAATTGTTTTCAAATAATTTTTTACTATAAATCTGGAAATTTTGACTATTTAAAATCAAATGATTGCCATTTTTATGTTTGCACAGAAGACTGATTTTTAGAAATAATGTGAAGTGAAAATTTCAAGTAAGATCACTGGAGGATAAAATAAAGCAATTTTGTCTCATGGATCGTTCTTTTTTTTTTTTTTTGGTCTTTTTCTTTTTTATCGGTACCAGGGATAGAACTCACGACTGCCTGCTTGCAAGGCAGGTGCTTATGCTCCTGAGCTAAATCCCCAGCCAGATCATTCATTTTTTACAGTAGTTGGTTTCAAACATATGCAGAGGAAAAGTAAACTTAATATGACAAAAAGCCCCAATAATTTTAGAAATTATTTTTTAAAATCAGTCTTAAATATTTCTGTACATACCAGAGTATGAACTAATTCATTCAATTGCTTACAGAAAAATAAGCTTTATTATCAAAATTGAAGATTCTAAATAAGTCTAAATTTGAACTAAACTATAATGATTTGAAAAATATAATGTAAGAAGTTTAAGTACTGTTTGATTTCTTTTAAAGTGTCTATAGATTTTGAACATTGTATGTCTGTAATTCAGAATGTCAAATTACAGCAGTAGACATTGATGGCAAGGAGAGAATATTATTTGGTCTGCTATGAAGAATAATCACGAAATAAAATTTTTTTTCCTTGAAAAGAGAAAATATTAAATAGATAATATCAACGGAAAGAAAAACCTGGTCCCTCAAATAAAGGGACCATTAAATGAAGACAGCAGCGTTACTCTTTACAGACAAAAGCATTATCCCTACTATCAAGAATAATGTAATAACATCTAATTCTCACATATTACAATCATTATGTATAATAACACATATAGAAAAATACAGACACTGCATGGTGACTAAGCCATTTTGGAATAAATCCATAGACTAAGTCACAGCATCCATAAATCATTTATACTGAAATTGTTCATTTTACCTGAACAAATTTTCATACACTGGTAATTTCCAAATGATAAAAAAAAATCTGGTTGCAATTGTTAATTATTTTGCTCAATTATATTTGAGAAAAAGAACCTAGCTGCCTCACCTATTTTAATACTAGTATATTCTGGATCACATTATACAAATACATGTATAGAAACTTAAAAGATCATAAATTTCCCACAAGGAAACATTATTTATTATGTATCATTGATGTGTATTTGCAAAACATTTTAACACTGCAAACATTAGAAGTTTTAAGACTGGGCTTGGGAAAGGTTCATTCTCTACTACAATGCTGCTGGTGTACTTCTCCACAAGGCCTCTGAGTGACATCAATCAATGGGAGGTAGAAGTCTATCAATGAATTGTTTGACATCCATCATTTCCTGTTCGGAATAAAGTGATTTAATGAGCAGCTATATAAGTCAGAAACTGAATCTCCATTAAAATGTCATTAGCAAAATCTATGCTACATAAAAAGAAACCACACTTTTACTACTACAATAAAAAGACAAAAATGAGGCTGCAGTAGAAATTTCTTAACATTCTCTATGAGGTCTGTTATTTTACACTGAAATAACACCCATCTATTATCTAGTCCCATGAAAACTGCATGTATTTCCCACACTTAAATGAAACACAGGGGAGTGAGGAAGTATAGAAGTGTTAGTACCTACTCTGAGAAGTCATTAAGTACACAATTACTGACAACTAAATGTCAGTGAAAATGCCTAATTTCTTATTAGAATAAAATGCTAAATTCATAGCTACAACTACTTTTGCCTTTCAGATGAAATGCATATAATTAACATCAGCGCTGGAAAGATGTGAACATGAATACACCAAGAGTTTATTATAGAAGACACTTTAGACTTTCTCTTGGAAAACTCCCACGTCTGGCTTAGTTTTCTTACCTCTACCATCAGCTCTTGAACTGCAAGGCCTTACCACTCCACAAAGGAGCCATGTGCATAATCTTCAAACTTCTAGTTGCTCAGAAAAGAGCCTTGCCATGAAAATGTTTCACTTTACAAACATGCTGAAGTCCTGCTAGTTCCTGTGACACTGCCTCTCCCAACGCCTCACTTACTGCTGCTACCCATTCAATCTAGTGTCCTCGAATGTCACCCTACAACACTCACCTACGTGACGAAACTTGTGACACACTGCTGGGAAGTCACAGTCCTAGTTCTTTTCCCTTTTGTTTTACTGGATTCAATACTTCAGTTCTTCATTTTAGCAGAGACCCTCAGGATCCTAGGCTCCCTCATCTTCTTCAATACACTGTATTCCTACCCACATCCTCTACTCCTAAAGCAAATGATTTAACCATTCTGAGGGCGTTGTAAAAAAGTGTTGTTGGGGCTGGGGATTTAGCTCAGCGGCATAAGCGCCTGCCTTGTGAGCAGGCAGTCGTGAGTTCAATCCCTGGTACCAATAAAAATGAAAAAGACAAAAAAAAAAAAAAAAAAAGTGTTGTTGGCTTCAACTACTCACTGTTTAACAATTTTACCAAGTTTTATTCTAGACCTTTTCAAGCCCCTGAAACTAGCCAGGCCTCCTACATTCTCTATCAAGTGACCACGTCTCCTACTTTACGGAAAGGATAAAGAGCATTGAATGTAAGTACCCAAGAACTCTCTTTGGTATCCGTCAGCATCCCTTGTTTATATTTATCTATCCTCTTCCATCTTGATTCCAGAGTATTTTCCCCTCTTTAAGGCATGGCCCTTGTTCTATTACATGTTGCGTTTAACACTTTCTACCAGTTATCTTCTCCTTACTGCACCCTTGTCCCTCTCCCTGCTCATAGACTTCCTACTCTTCTATCAGAATCTTTTATAAAGGTCTATACACATGGCCTCTGTTCCATTTCCTACCCTATCCTTGCTGCCTAGAGAAAAACTCCCTCCTCAGTACAACAAAAAAACTTCCTACAACTAAGACCCTGATCCCTACGTCTGCTACCCTGTGACATTTGGCTTTCTGTAAGACTCCAGCCTCACAGCCCCTTTCCTGCATACCTGCCATGCAGATCCTCCTCATTCTTCAATCCCTTGCTCTTTCATCACAAGCTCAGTGTCTAAGAGAAAATTAATCTCCCTCTTAGTTTTTTAGGGCATATTTCAAAAACTGCTAATACAATACATATCAAATTCTGTTTCCTATACAGCTTCTTGCATATACAACTTTCTCACCTATTATACTGTATCTTAACTTTTAATTAATAGAATACTACTTGTCCTTGAATTATGTACAGTGATTACATACAATAATCAGATATTTGTTGAATTTAACTGAATAATCTGTCATTAAAAGTCTCAATAACCTATATTGTGATATGAATTCATATTTATTCCTTTATATCCCCAAGCATCAAATGTCATTCATCTTGAAAACATCACGTAGAAGATGTTGAAACTCTAGCTAGATCACTGCTCTAAACACCTACCTGTTGACATGAACTATGCATCATGCCTTCATAGGTTTTGAAGGTTACATTGGCTGGATTTACCAGCGATTTTAATTTTTCAGCAGTAAGGGAACCAAACATCAGGGGAACTAAAGGGTCACAATCTCCATGGCACTGGAGAATAGAAATATCTTTGTTAACACCACTGATAGGACCCTGCAAAAACACAAAAAACAAAAACTGGTATTACTTAATCAAGTGTATAAAGCATTATGCTGAACATTTAAAACTTAAAACTGTATCTAGACATGTACATACATGTATTATTTACACTTGAGGTTATATTTGGCCAAAGAAATAAAATCTCTCCCATCTTATATTCCTCATATCCCTTTATTGAAACTTCTACAGAATACACAATTACTTTGTCTTATAGATACATATCTTTCTAATGAATTTATTTCTTGAATCCAGTTATATCTTAATCTGTTTGTATATTTTCAGTCTTGATATTGGAGGTAATCAATAACTTTCACCATGATATTTTCTCAGTTTCCGATTTATATAAGTAAGAGAGCTGGTAAACAATATCTATTACATATAAGACACCAAGTTATGAAATAGTAGCAAGCCCACAACTCTCTAGATTCAAAAATGAACTCAGGACTAGAGGTGTGGTTTTAAATGGATGGATGGTAGAAAGACAGATAGAAGACAGACCTATCCATCCATTCATTCATCCACCAACTCATCTATCCATCCATTTATCTATCTCATACTAAGGCTACATACTAGGCAAGCTCTCCACCGCTGAACTAAACCCCAGTCCAAACAATGAATATATTAAACATTTTTTTAAAAGGGTTTTTTTGTTTTGTTTTGAGACAGAGTCTTCTAGTAATCCAGGGTGTGTCTGAACTCACTAGGTAGCCAAAGATGGCCTGGAACTTCTGATGTGATCCTTCTGCTTCAACCTCCCAAGGGCTGGGATGACAGGTGTGCACCACAGTGCCCAGCTAAAAAGTATTTCTTTTTTTTTTTTTTTTGTCTTTTTTGAGACAGGGTCTCACTTTGTAGTCCAGGCTGGTCTCGAACTCGCAACGATCCTCCCACCTCAACTTCCCGAGTGCTGGGATTACAGGCATGAGCCACCACCCCAGCTAGTATTTCTATCTATTAAAAGCAACCTTAAAACAAAAATGTGTAACAGATATTGTGAAATGGAAGAAAATGTTCAAATGGGAAGGAAACTAGGAAGGGGGAAAGAAAGGAAAGAGAAAGAAAAAAGCTGAGAAAAGAACAAAAAATGGAAACAAAGCTTTTGTAAATAGGGAGGGAAAGGAGGGTTGAAAGGAGAGGAGAGGAGTGGGAAAAAAAAGAATCAAGATATATCATGTACGGGCACAAATTCCCTATGATGAATCTGATCATTATGTATATCTAAAATGTTCCAATAAATTTTATTAAAAAATAAAGCCAGGGATTTAGCCTCGAGGTTCTAGCACTTGTCTGGTAAATGTGAGGTCCTGACTTCAATCCCCAGTATCAAAAAAATCAATCATGAATCAATCAATAATCTAGAAGTTAAAAAAGCCTTGATTTTCACATATATCCTACAATATATCAAATCTTCAGTAACCACATTTATCACAAGGTTTTTTATTCTACTCTATGTAACTCATATAGACAGTATAGTGTACAAATAAAACCTAGTAACACAACACAAAAGTCTAGAGCAGATTCTTGTAACAAAAGAAGACAGCTGAGGTAAACTACAGACTCGGCTGGTGACCACGTGTGAGTGCAGGTTCACCACCATAACGAAGGAGCCAGCGTAGGCTGGGCTCATGGGCCAGGGAGAAAATGGGAATTACATACTTTGCATCAAGTTTACTAAAATTTAAAAAGATGACTTTTGCCCAATATTACCTGCTACTTTTTAGCTCGATAATCTCATGTTTTGGTATCAAGCAGGTTACCTGTGGGAATGAAGCCCGAAGTGGAAGCCAGCAGCTGAGTGCGGTGACCCCCGCCAGTTTCTGCTGTGTGGTCAGAGCAGTGTATAAAGATAAAGCTCCGCCCTGGAAAGAAAGCAGGGGGAAATCAATGGAGCGCACACACTGCCAAGAACAATATAAAAGATCTCTAACTGTTACGGCTTATTCATAAGAAAATCATACGGGGTGGCTGATGTCAAATCAAATCCACAACTATGAGAATGTACCCTCATAAAGCACAGTTCCTTACACCAAAAAGTGCATACCAACTGCTGATGCTGTTTTCTGCAACAGAAGTTCAAGATAACAAGGACTGCGCAGCAGACCGTCTCCATTAGCATCGCACGCGGCTGGGACACCACATCCTGGGAGCCACTTTCCCACCAGCCACCCAGGTGTCCCATCACTAACCATCCTGGGAGAATATGAGAGTTTTTCCTCCTTCCAGAAAGTATAACCCTTTGTGGGACTGGGATTCAGTGACTGCTGGGCAGATTCTGTGTAACTGAAACTGTAACATGTAAATTTAACAACTGGAAACACTACAGGCTACAGCATGTAACAGCTAAGAAGGCCACCATTTGATGGAGAGACAAATAAAGCAGATGAGTAGGAAACAGACGAAAATGGAGACAAAATTCCAGATGGGTTTTCAGGTCCTAGGTACTGAGCTTTGCATTATTTTTTTTCTCTTCTCCTTCTTGCTTCTCTTCTTCCCTTCCTCCTTCTTCCTACACAGGGGGTCAAAGGATCTCCACTCTGAGCTAGGTCCCCAAACCTCTTTATTTTGAGACAGGGTCTCAGCTAAATTGCCCAGTTCAAACTTGTGATCCTCTTGCCTCAGCCTCTGATCACTGTGTTTGGCTCGCTCTTTCTTATTTAAAGTGTATTTTAGGAATTGGTTTCTATAGGCTATAATCAATTTTAAATAAGTTTCTCTGTATACTTCTTGTTTTTAATCAAATATTAATTTCTGTCCCTATGTTTATGTCAAGATGTGTACTATATTAAATTACTTCAACAAACACATTAATGATACCTTTTTATTGTATCAACAACATATCCCTTCTGTTGAATTCTATTGTCTAAATGATTCCAGAATTCTAAACTTCCCTTAGTAAAGTAAGTGAAAACAGTACATTGTTTTTTAGAAGACTTAAGAGAGATAGGTTACCTGGAAACAGGCAAAAAGCTGAAAGTGCAGCTGGGCTTCATGGCAAATGCCTGTAATCCCAGCACCTGGGAGGCTGAGGCAGGAAGATCTCTGTGAGTTTAAGGCCAATGTGGGCTACAAAGTGAGTTCAAGATCAGCCTGAACTATACAGTGAAACCCTGCCTCAAAAAAGAGTCCCCCCCCCCCGCAAAAAAAACCAAGCTGAAGATGAAGACCAATTATAGGGAAAATTCGCCATGACTGCATACATCTATAATCCTATCACTCAGGAGGCTGAGGCAGGAGGATCACTGTGAGTTCAAAGGCAGCCTGGGCCACACAGCAAAACCCTGTCTCATAAATAAATGCAAACTTACTGTTGAAAAAGTATGTATGACTGGACGAAAGGCTCAGAAAGAAAGAAAGATGCCAAAACAAGTATCACATATTTATACCTAAACCTGTCCATAAGGGAAGAAATCCTTGTATCATTTACCTTACTGTTCCTGTTACCAGTCTCTCCCTGGGACATAAAACTTAAGCCCATATTATTAAGAGTTCTGGCTAATTAAAAGGGTATGCAGAGTGCTAATTCAGAAACTTAACTATAGCATATTATAGTTACTTAAGAAAATATATTCCAGGTCTACCAAGTGATAAAGAGAGGAAAGGTGGGGACAAAAAAGAACGAAGAATGAAGTAGTATTATATAGAGGTACCAACTCATGATGATTGTAGTCAATACACACTGCAAATATGTACTAATAAAAATAAAAAAATTTAAGAAATATATTCCAGGTCCCAATCAATTTATTTAATAAAAGTAAAGGCTAGTGCTGAGAAGACAAAAACAAAAAAAGTATAAAAGCATACAAAATGGAAACTGATTATTTCCATTCCAAACAAACTTATTTCAGCATTAACATCAGTCAAGAACCTGTAGCATCTTCTAAAAGGGACTCCTCTGTAGAAAAAAGGATTGAGAAAGAAGACTTCTAGATAAATACACAGATGGTACATACAGACATACCACCAAATTGTGTCTTACCTGAGAAAATCCTCCCAAAATAATTCTGTTAGAAGGAATGCCATTTTTCACCTCTTGATCTATTAAAGCTTTCACTAAAAACAAAAAGTCAATCACATACCTTCAGAGTTAAGTCCATTAATACAACTTAAAATAAGAAAAAAATAACCACACAGCACACAGTACATATCCAGGATGAAAATGCATGAAAAGCGTGAAGGACTCCATAAATAAACAACTAGAAGGTATTTTTATCAGAAATTTCTCAGATTTTTCAGATGATGCTTAATTCAAAATTTCAGTAATTTCTTGTTATATACTTTGTAATAACAGTTCTCTCTCTTCAAAAGATGGATATTCTTTTATTTATGGTTAATTTGACTTGTACATTTTATATTTCTTCAATAAACTATAGTATATTTGCACCTCAACAGTGTCTTTTGAAATGGTATATAGTTAAATAAATTACAATTTATACGTAGGGAGCCGAGTGACAGCCCATTGCTGCCTCCCTGTCTGTCTCTCCTATGGGCACTGCATCTGCCTACATTAATCATAATCCTCTCCTGCTTATGTCACATACCCGGATGTGACAGTGACCCTGTTGTATTCATCCCCTTAGCCTCTTCCTGTCCCACCTCCCGCCTTTGGCCTATAAAAGATGTGATCACTTCCTGAATAAATGGAGGCTTGATCGGATTATCTCGACTTGCTTTCATCTCTCTTTGTCTCCCCTATGTCTTTTATTTAATCCCCTTTCCACCTCCAGGGATACCCCACAGATTGATCTACAGGCTGGATCAAGTGGCGCCCAACGTGGGGCTCCTGGCATGGAGGAGTTAATGAGGGAGCCATTCGAGACAGCCGGCTTAAACTGAAAGTGAAAGCAAATTGAACCAGAGACCTCGGCCAAGGAGTGAGTAAACTGAATCAAGGATTAAAGCTTAAAGCAATAGGACATTAAATCAAGTACTGAGGCCTGTGCAGACAACTACCCAGCGTCCTGCCCGAGTCACGGTGAGTGAACAGCAACCCCATTTCCCTTCCCAGACATGGGTCAAGTATTGAGCGAACACGAATTGTTCATGGGAGGCATTATAAAGGCATTAAAGACAAGGGGGGTAAGGGTTAGAACAAAAGAATTATTACAGTATTTTCAATTTATTCATAAGGTTTGCCCTTGGTTCCCCCTAGAGGGTTCTATAGATACCAAGAGGTGGAATAGAGTAAGAGATGCTTTAAAAGATTATTACAGAGTTTTCAGTCCGAAAAAGGTTCCTGTGACCACCTTTACATACTGGAATTTAATCTCTGAGCTGCTTGCCCAGCAGCATGCAGATCCTTAGATTGAGGAGATGATTGCACTAGGTGAGGCTGCCCTGCGCGACTCCGTTAATTCTACCTCAAAACCAACCTCAGAAAAATCTGAAGCCTCTGATTTCTCAGATGCAGAGGATGATGGCCTGTTAAGAGGTCCTCCTACATGGTGATCTGCCACCACTTCCTCCTGTTGACATGATCAACAGGGTCCAGGATGCCGGCCCGCCACTCCTCTTGCCTCCATGGCCAATTGGGGATTCATATAAGCCTTTATACCCCGGCCTTTCTGATTCTCAGGAGGTCAACTGGGAACAACCAACACAACAAGCCTCTACATATCACCCTGACTCTGTTGCAGCACCAGCTGCTATTAGGCCGTTCCCTGACTATGATGATGCACTCAGCATCTGCTCTCAACCTTCTAGCACATTAGTGGAATTAGAGTAAAGAAAAACGGATCTTTTAAAACAGATACAGCTAGAAAAAGAATGCCAAAATCTTTCAATTCAACTGCAGGCCCTCCAAGCTACACAGCTTTATAGTGTTCGTGACATGGCACCTGCCTCTGGCATGCCTTGTGGCACTCTTAAAATGGCGCCTGCCTCCGGCAGCCAGCTTAAAATGGTGTTCCCAGTCACAGAGGCCTTTACTCCCCCACGGGATGTTAAAGAGGGCACTAAACCACAAGCTGTTAGGATACACACACCTCTCACCGTGACAGCCTTAAAAGAGTTAAAGGCCGCAGTCTGGCCCGATTGCCGCCTACACCATTGCGGTTCTAGATTCTTTGACTCAGGGTTGGATTATTCCTAATGAGTGGAAAGACTTAGCAAAAGCCACCCTCTCCGGAGGCAATTATCTATTATGGAAATCTGAATTTTTTGATCAATGTGAGGGCATAGCCAGAGATAACGCCGCACGGCCAAACCCCTGGACCCTTGCTATACTTACAGGAACAGGAGATTTTGCCACAAAAGAGACCCAAATGCGGTTCAATTCGGGCCTCTTTGCCCAGATTAATATGGCAGCCATTAGAGCGTGAAAACGGCTTCCCCTCAGGAGGCGAGCCTACCTTATCTCTCACCCAAATAAAACAAAAGCCTGAGGAGCCCTTTTCGGACTTTGTCAATCGCCTCCTACAGGTGGCAGAGCATCTTTTCAGTTCCACAGAAACAAACTCTGCCCTGGTTAAACAATTGGCTTATGAAAATGCAACCTCAGCTTGTCAGGCTGCAATTCGACCACATCGCAAAAAAGAGGACCTATCGGATTATATCTGCTTATGTACAGATATTGGGCCGGTTTATCAAGGCCTAGCCATGGCTACGACACAACAAGGTTACATAGTTACACAACCCCTTCTCCTCGTATGTGTGTGTGTGGGGGGGAGCTTTTCCCTTACCTAGCACCCCTTTTGGGTCCCCTAGTTGCCCTATTGCTTCTCCTTTCTGTGAGTCCTTGTATTTTTCAGAGGATTATGATGCTCATTAATAACTGGATAGACGCGTTTATGCGGCCTAACTGCCCTGGGGCAATGGATAGGCAGTCAGAGACGGGCAACTAGGACATGCATGTTAATTTCAAGGCCACGTAAGACAGGTACAGGACCAACTGCTGTTCTGCGAGCCCATGACGGGTAAGGCCTGGTTGGGTTCATGCAATGAGGTCCTTGACCTAAGACAGACGCTGTTCGGCAAGGCCTGCCATACTCTTGATTAAATAATATAGAAAGGGAAGAGATGTAGGGAGCAGAGCAACAGCCCATTGCTGCCTCCCTGCCTCTCTCGCCTATGGGCACTGCATCTGCCTACATTAACCATAATCCTCTCCTGCTTACATCACGTACCCGGATGTGACAATGACCCTGTTGTACTCATCCCCTTAGCCTCTTCCTGTCCCACCTCCCGCCTTTGGCCTATAAAAGATGTGATCACTTCCTGAATAAACAGAGGCTTGATCGGATTATCTCGACTTGCTTTCATCTCTCTTTGTCTCCCCTATGTCTTTTATTTAATCCCCGTTCCACCTCCAGGGATACCCCACAGATTGATCTACAGGCCGGATCATTTATAATTTACAGTTTTTTGAGATTTTTTTTCTTGTCCCAAAGCTGAACATGTGGTCTTCACAGTAGACCACACCCCATTCCCCAGCCCCTTTTATGAGACAGAGTCTCAGTAGGTTGCTATGTAGCGCAAGTTGAGCTCAGCCTTGCAGTTATTCTATCAGTGCTGCTCTCTCCATTTGCCCACATGAATCAAAGCAGAATCCTTATGCATCTGACAGAGCTGAAGTTGAATGCATGCCACTCCCCCCCCACTTCCTCACCTCCCTGACCTTAGTCAAAGGCGTCCATGTTGACAGGAGGATAAACCATTTGGTAATCAGAAACAAACAGCACTACCTACTGGGGTCACAATACCTGTGCCACATTTAACTAGAGTTAGTGTAACTACTGGATCTACTCTGAGCATTAGGAATGCAATTATCATTTTAAGAAATTTTCTAAACTTACCACTTTCTGCTGCTCGTTTAATTCCAGGTTCATCCTCATGAGCATCTGGTGAAAGCCCAATGATATCAAACCTAGAAAATAGGCCAAATCTTACAACAACCATTTGACTTTGAGTCTTTTCTTGGTAAGCATGTTTTACTAAACTCATGGATAAAAAGCACTAACCAGAGACATTTCCCATAACATGAAATTCAAAATGTCTACAGTGGCTATACAATTAACGTGAATCTGACATTCTGTATGTTCCTTTCACTCCAACTAGATATGGATTCCAATGTTAAAAAGCCAAGGTATCGTTTAATTTTAGGGTGAAGACAACCTAAGAAATATACTTAGTTCAATTTTACACTCAATCCACAATCCTGAAAAGTTTCTGATAAATTTCAGCTATTAATTTCCTCTCCTATTATCAATTCAGTGGAAGTTATTTTTCTGTACTATGGTGCTCTTGCACCCACTACCTTGTATCTATCAAAAACACAGATTTATACTCATTTCGATCCAGGTGCTGCACTTTTCCATTGTGCACTGTACCACCTCAACCAGAAACCCAGGGAAGCCTTCTTTCAGGGTTTTCTACTTTGCTGCACTCACATTATGGACACTTGTACAGAGAAACAAGAAACCTGCTCTTTTTTCTGACTATGAAGTGCACAAGGAATGTGACAATATCTTGAAGGTTGAAAGGGAATTGGTTTCCTTAAAAACTAGCCAGCTCTCTAGGAAGGCAAAAAGCGGAAGGATGAAAAGCCTGTGGCTTAATCAGAGTGTATACCAATGGGATCACACACCCACTCAGCTACTAAAATCAGCGAAGGCTTGCAAAGCCACCAGAGATTTTTCCTACAATACTTCTATTCACTTGTTCTCTCCTGTGTCTTTATCTGCACAGGTCCTTATGTTTACTAAAAAATCTAAAGCATAAAAATTAAATAAGAAAGTTTTAATTTAATTATGTTACTATGTAATTTAAAAACAGCTAGACAAAACCAGATATGGTGGTACATTTTTGTGGGAGAATGTGGCAGGAAAATTGAGCACAGCCTGGGTAATTTAATGACTTAGATTCAGTTTCAAAATAAAAAAGAGAGAGATAAACATCTAAACTGTACCTAAAAGCACTTTTGATAAAAACTAAAAAGTTTAAGGCCAGGAACATAGCTTAGTGGCACACTGTCTGCCTGGCAAGCACGAGTTTGTGAGTTCAATTCCTGGTACCTGCCCCAAAAAGAAGACAGACAGACGACAAAAATAATCTTAATCAACAAGTAAATTCTTACCAAGAAGGCATAGCCATGTTCATATTTAGTGTGACCGGCATCACAGGCCTACAAAGAAGAGAACAGCAGCAAAGTAAGCACAGTGAGGCATAAAACAATAAATCCCATCAATCTAAATAGGTAATTACTTGAGGCTCATGCAAAGCTCTGTGCTACAATTTTAACATGAGCTGTTTTAGGGATTCACAGCTGAACAAGCCTGTGGTCTATGCCCTCCCAAACGTGTTCTGAAGACACAGAAGCAGCTGCAAAGACTAAGCTTGGCAAACAATTGTTTTTCCTCTTTCAATGCCCTTACTTAACACTTATAACTTCTCAGACATGATGGAAATGCGTAAAATAAGTGACTGGTAAGGGCAATTTATGGCACAGACACCCTACCATCAATTCCTATGTGCTCAGACTATATTTTAACTTATTTTCTATTTCTTAGCTACATGTCTGCTCAATTAATACACTTCTAAATAAGTATCAGTTTTGCTAAATGTCCAATGTATCCAATTCAAGTTTGCAATGAAAAATAGGCTTGACAATCTGAATTTAGCCAGAAACAAAAGAAAAATATGCACTCTATGTCTTACCACTATTCTCCTGATTCTAGCAATAAGTCTATTGTAGAGGTTACAAAATTGTATCAGAATCTGAGAACACAAACTTCCCTGGACTGTGAAAAAGAGTTTAAAGCAATTTGATCTTAGGGTAAATAATGTAGCTGAAATTCCAACATATTTAAGAATTCTCCCTGTTGCTTTAGCTCAGTGATAGAGGACATGTCACAGCTCACTAGGGATCCCTCCCGTCTCTGGGGGGGCTATTCCGGTTCCCCAATAAATCTTTGCTACTCCTAAAAGAAGTAGAGAACACAGCCACAGTAGTCACAGTACTCTAATGTGGCCGAGACACAGTTAAGACAAATTACTTCAGGACAAAAAGGGAAGCTTGGTTTCCTTCTCTAATCTTCAAATAGTATTCCTTTTCCTTCATTCGTGTATCTGTCTCAAGGCTGAATTACTAATTTCTTAGCATGCATTCAATCCCTTTGCCTTCTTCTTCCTGCTAACTGCCTCCCAGTGACTTTTGACCTAACACTGCCAAGCTTACTGGTTTTCTGCCTTGCTCAGGATGTGCTAGTTTCTTCTTGGCATCCATACACATTTTCTAAGCCAAAAACTGAAACCAAATCTACCACACTCAAGGTCTGTGTTCTGTCCACAATTTATCACATTGCTTCTATCTGATAAAATACAAGAATGTTCTCAGTACAGTAAAGATTTCTCACAAATCTGCCAAGAAAACCTGCTGCACAGATAAACCAGGTGTATCTTTGGAACTTAACAGATATTCATATATCAAAATCAATTTTTCTGTTTTTAAGTTCAACTGACCTGTAGCGGAACAGCATTTTCAATTTCTCAAAAAGAAAAAGTTCTTCAATTTAAACAAAAGACTACTGTAGGTTTTATGAAGCCCACTAAAATTGACTATCTTAAAAATAAAAATTAATCATATTCAAAGGTTTTTCTGAAAAAGCAAAGCTAACCCAATTATTCCTCCCCAGATTTTACACCAAAGCCTAAAGATCAGGAATACTTACGCGTGTGGGCAGATATATTTGATATGTGAACTTCTAATACCTGCAAAGGCTTCTGCCCATCCATGCCTGGTGGAAAAATTATTTGAATAATGCTATTAAATACTGTTTTAATTCCCAAAGAATTAGTAACAGAACATTATTTAATTTTTTTGTGAGGATGGGTTGGGTAGGGTAGCTTGCAGCACTTGAGACGTTGAGGTAGGAGGATCACTGTAAGTTCAAGGCCAGCCTATACGACATAGTGAGACCCTGCCTCAAAAAAAATAAAAAAGTTACGAGGACAAATACTAGCTTTTGGGTGGGGTTCAGCTCTAGGGCGTAAGCACCTGCCTGACAAGCATGAGGTCATGAATTCAATCACTGGTACTCCCCAAATACAAACTTCTAAATACATATACACACACACGTATTTCTGAACATATCTTAAAAGCATGGGCTATTAAAATGCTATTTAAATACACCATAAACCTAGAAACAACCCAAGGAGCTATTATTTCATCTAGACCAATAGATGAAGATGATCTTTCACGATTTCTGAACAACAACATGTGCTCCTTCATATATTCTCACTGCACTTCATGATTTTCAAAATATGTGTTTTGGGGGCTGGGGATTTAGCTTAGCAGCATAAGTGCCTGCCTTACAAGCAGGCAGTCATGAGTTCGATCCCTGGTACCGATAAAAAGGAAAATGACAAAAAAATATATATATATGTATTTTTATCCCTTTATATGAACTACACAGTAGGCCAGACAGATAATGTAATTCAGGTTATATACAAAAAGCCTCAGAATAAAGTAAAGCAGTTATCTAACATCTCTGTATGCTTACACTATGAAAAGTAACTTCAAGCTGAGTTTAAGGCCACCCAGGGCAACACAGTGAGTTCAAAGTTAGCCTCAATTACATAGTGAGGCTATGTCTCTAAATAAATAAAATCTGAATACTTGACTTTATTATAACCCAATACAACTTTCCAAAGTGTTTTTTTTAAATAGCACCTCTAACTCAAATAAGCTCCTAGATTTAACCAATCTGAAGAATTGCTATGTAAGAGAATCAAGGAAGAGACATGAAGATACAGAAAGATACGTACAAATGGAAAACCAAGGATCACCAGATACTTGAAGAAATTCAACAGCACTAAAAGACTAAGATGAATAAACCAAAAGCTGATCCCAGAAGAGATATAATTAAAGGTACAGAAAAGAACATTTAAAAACTGTAAAACAGCATCATCACAGGGAAGTTACAGGAGAACGTTGTAGCAGACTGCTAGAAAAAAAGAACAAATAACTGTCATGACAAAGGAAAATAACAAATTTTTAAATAAACAGTAGAATCAAATAAATCAGTAAGTACATGGATGAATAATAGAATAGATATGGCAATAATGGTATATAACCCCAGAACTAAATGACATGTAATCTCTCTGAGTATACAGAAAAGATCAAAAATGAAAATCTGAGAGAAAATAAAGATGCTATGGACTGAATTGTACCTTTTTCCACCAACTTCAAAATTTGAAGTTCTAACCTCTGACAGGACTATAATTATACATGGACATTAGGGCCTACAAGGAGATGATAAAACTTAGTGGAGCACAAAGGTGGGGTCTAATCCCTCATCAAAGGTGTGTTATGGCTTGTGTCTAGATGACCACCCTGCCCTCCCAGGCCTCATGCAGTCATAGGTAGGGCTTTTGCATAGGTGGCTGAACTAGAGTGTGTGACACTGGAACTGATTCAGGGTGCAATGCTAAGAGAAGGGCACTAGGATTAATGGTGTGAGTCCCACCTGCCTAAACAGCTTGGACAAGACATAAGAGATGGGAAGGGTTCTGGGCCCTCCTTGCCTTGTTTTGCTACCTTCTGCCCACCCTGAACTGTTTCTCTTCTGCAAGGCCTGTCTGCCCTGCCACCTTGCCTTGGAGCCAGCCTATTACGGACTGAAACCTCTACAAACTATGAGCCAAATAAACCTTTCCCCTTTGAGTGTTGGATATTTTGTCTCAGCTGCAAGAAATGTAAGGTAAGTTAGCAGAGTCACCAGCATTTTCTTCCTGTCAAATGAGGCCACCTAGAGACGATAGACATCTACAAGCCAGGCAGACAGCCCTCACTAGAAGCTGCCGGTGGCTCGCACCAGACTTCCTAGCCTCTAGAACTGTGAGGAATTGAATTTCTGTTGTTAATGCCACCCAGAGAAAGAGTGGTGAGCTGACTATACCTGTTTTGTGATGGCAGCCCTAGCATACAAGGTAGATTCAGAAGGACCCCTTCATTCAAAAGAGTGCCTGCAGAAACTGACAACTGGTAGAGAAGAGACTGACCATGAAATAACAGAAAACTTCCCCAAACCCCAAAAGGCTCAAGACTTCAGGGGGCCTGCCGAGTGGCAAGTAAGGCAATTTTTAAATCCTTAGACAAATCTTAACGATGTTTCAAAATAAAAAGGACAAAGAGAAAACCATAAAATACTAAGAAACTAAGGGCCAGTTACTAAAAGGTGTAAAAATGAGTCTGGCTGAGTCAGCCAAAAGGTGACTGACTGCTGGGCAGCAATGGACCCGAAAGAAAACAACTTTGAGCCCAGAATTATCAGTCACGCTAGAAGAAAAAAGCATTCAATGAGAGAGCAGAATCAAGACATTTTCTGACCCATGATCCAGAACATTTACCTCTTAGTTAAGAATATGCTACCATTAAAAAAACTAAATTCAAGACTGACTTTGTGTATAAGCTATAGCAATGAACAGAAAAAGTAACAAGTTTATAATTACTTAAATTTTAACTAATATGTAAAAATTATGAACATGTAAAAAAATTAATAATATTCGAAAAACCTAATGAAGAGAACACAGAAAGTGTTGGTAAGTATATTATAGAAAAAACAAACTCAATTCATAAAATCAACCATATCTATTAAATACCTAAATCTAGACCAAGACAAACCTGTTCATTATGACTCTGCTGATGAAAAATAATAGCAGAGATATGTTCCAGGATGGAAGATTAATACTGAAAAGATGTCAGTGCACCTCAAATTAATCTTTAATAAAATTTCAGAAAGCCTGAGAGAAAAAAGAATTGCTACATAGCAATTGCAAATCAGCTTCTAGCTGAACCAGAGGTCTCTGGTTAAAGTGTTAGCTGGCTGAGTGTTGCCTTTTGGGCTCTTAGCTGTTCTTTGCTAATACAGACTCCACTGACTCTGGAAGAAGCAGTATAAGAGATAAAAGTTGAGTGAAATAATCAGGCTGTCCCGAGATTAGAGTGAAAAGATTTGAAAAATCATTTTAAGACAAAATTACAGATTCTGAGGACAGAGCTTGGTATAGACTGCCTCACCTACCTTTTTGCTGGTCTAGCCTTTAGAAGTTCTCACATATCTCCAGCACCAAAAAAAGACTCTACAGATAAAACCACCTTCTGTTATCAGCTAAGAGAATGTACAAGTACAGAATACACTATGTTAACTGACTCAAGCACATATGGATTAATGGTAAACAACTCCTTTGCTTTTTTATGTTTTATATTTCAATTTATTAAACCTGGTGTGGTTGTGTATTTTTTTCTTTTTATTTTCAAATCCATTTTATTTCAAAGAGAAAAAGAAAGTTTTTTAAAATTTGAAAACATGTCAATCAGGAGGCAAGAATGGTACATACAATGAGCACTGTCACCCCCAAGTCATTCACCCCAGAGCATAAGACATCTGCATCCAATTGTCCAAACAATACTAGCAATGAACAAAGAGAAATCAGTAGCATAATTATCAACTGTTTTTATATACATTTACATACATATGTGTTGTTTCTTTCAGCTTTCCACATAGTTAAACAAACAATATTTACATGTACGATTTATTTCACTTATGAGAATGGTCTCAAGTCGCATCCATTTATCTATAAAAGTCTCCAGTTTGGGCCAGGGATTTAGCTCAGTGACATAAGCACCTGCCTGGCAAGTTCAAGCTCATGAATTGGATCCCAAGTACCAAAAAAAAAAAAAAAAAAAAAGTCTCCAGTTTATCCCTCTTTATGACTGAGCAGTACGGCAATGTATAAAAATATCACATCTTTTTTATCAGTTCCTCAGCCAATGGGCATTTAGGTTGTTTCCAAGTTCTGGCTATTACAAGTTATGCTGCTATAAACACAGGTGCACATATATTTCTGTACTATGATGTTTTTAATTCTTTTGGGAAAATACCCAAAAGGGGAGTAGCTGGGTGGAATGGGACCTCTGGTCCTAGATTTTTGAGAAATCTCTACACTGATTTGCACAGTGGTTGTACCAGTCTACACTCCCACCAACAGTGGAGAAAGGCTCCTTTTTCCCTACAATCTCTTTAGCATTGCTTGATTCCTTGATGATAGCCATTCTTCCCAGGATAAGGTGAAACCTCAGTGTTGTTTTAATTTGCATATCTCAAATGACCAGTGATGATGAACATTTTTCATATTTATTTCTTGTTTATGTTTCTGCCTCTGAGAAGTGTATATTCATCTCAGATGCCCATTTTTTGGATTGGGTCTTTAAATCTGGGAGGACTGATTTTTTAAAGCTCTTTAGGTTCTTTTTTTTTTTTTTTTTAAAGCCAGTCAAATTTAGCAGTGGGGGGGTGGTATACCAACTTTAGTGACACTAATGTTAATAAGTTCTGATAACCCACTGCCATCGGACCAGCCTAGGTTCTTAATAGTAATCCTTGGTCTGAGGATCCTTGATCAGCAGGCAAACATTTTCTCCCATATTGTGGGTCATTTTTTCACTTTGTTGGTGGCTTCTCTTGCTGTACAAAAAGCTTTTAAGTAGGATGAGTGCACAGCTGTTGATTTTGATAGTTTCTGTGCAATCGAGGTTTTGTTCATCAAGTCTTTGTCAACACCAGTGTCTTCAAGTTTTATCTGATGTACACATTTACTGGTTGGTGTCTGTGGTGGACTGACAGCTGGTGGTCAGCTTGTACCCAAATGAACTGAAGAGGAAGCAGCCCTGTGGCTTCTTTCCTGATATAAACTCCGCTGCTCTTATCACCAGTGGAGCTCGGGACCTTGTCGT